TTCGACCAAACGTCACGCACACGTTTAACTCAGACACCTCAACATCTCAATTTGAGCTTGGTTCCGCTTCCCAATCCGCTGGCCCTTGCTGGGCCTCCATCAACTCATCTTCACTGTCGACATACGACACGTCGACCAGATCATGAATATGCACCATCTCGCTCTCTCCTACCTCAGCTGGCGTCGGATCATGCATCTGATCACCCCCATCCACGAGATTAACTCGAGGGTGGAAGTTATTACCCGGCGCTTGTTGTGTGCGCGTGGATGTTCCCCCAGCCGATGTACGGTGTGGTGACGCACCCCCATGTTGCGTATGGCTGCCCGTGTTAGTTGAAGTCGGTGCTCGCAGTAACTTAGGGCAACGTGGTGCATGTGTGGAGCCAGGCAGGAGATTCTGCTCACATGACCGACAGCGAGCCCTAGGGTTCGATGCTGGCGGCGCATGCGGATTAGCTCGTGTTGTGGCCTCCACACGCGTTTGTGTGCATGAACGTGAACCCCTGGGAATTTGTCGTGGTCGGGAAAGGTTTGCTGGACGGTGTTCTTCCGCCTGGTCAATACTCACCCGAAATACATCACGCATTTGTGCCGTTGAATATTCTCGCCAGTTAGGGTGCATACGAAGAGTATCACGGTAATATGCACCCCCCGCAGCTTGATTGATTAAGTTGAGCATACCATGATTGCGGTACACTTGTAGCGGATTCTCATACTGTCGCATCTCCATAAAGTCGACTTTGCGTTCGAAATCCCGGAGTTGTGTCTCGAGTGGCACCGAAGGGTTTAACTTCATGCACGCCAATACATTTCTGTATGCGTTATCCTCCAGATCTTATTCGGGTGTGCGTACATTATAAGCAGTGGCGTCCTGAAACGACATAGACTGCAATTTTTGCTCGTTCTCCACAATAAAATCCAAAAGCGCCTTGGTTACTCCTTATTTCTGTAGTGCCCTATGTAGGCCCATCTGCATATGAATCGGGTCTAATTCGTGAAATCTTGCATTCTTATGCCAATTCAAAATAAACGCATGAAACTGTATTTTCTGCGGATTATCCAAATAATAGCTGCCCTGTGGATTAGGTGGCCATTCCTTGGATGTCCGTTTATCGACCGTTATTGAGCAAGTCTTCAACGTCTCGTTAGAGGTACGAATTAAGCCCTGCAACGAACGAACGTCTTCAGTGAGTCCCTCAGCTTCCGCTTGCATCATACGTTGGGTGAGAAGGAATACCTGCGTTTTCATCTCTGCCGCGGTAGACTCAGTAATGCACGCCTCCGTAGGTGGTGATATCTTACATCGTTTTACCTCCTACGGGTCTTCCAGGTAGCGATCGTGGTGAACAGGGAAGTGCTTACGGTATGCAGGGGTATCGATAGGTACATTTGCATTATCCTGACAGTTCTTCTTCCTTTCTTCTGGAGATTGCGGACGACGATGCTGTTGTAATTTGTCCCTTAATAAATTCGCTGCCGCTTGACCGTGAGTAGGCTGTTGACGTGGAAATTTCATCACTTTGCGAAATGCCTCAAAGGATCGCTTCGCCGACGATGACAAATTTTGAGGGGTAGCCATGTCCAAATGTAAGTCCGCTGGGTCCAAAAAAAAGTCTACCAGGTGATTTCACCCAAGTTGTCGACTCCTGATACCAATCCGGACCATCAGCCGGCATCTTATCAGGAGTCGGAATTGTCTGGGCTCAATTTTGAGCGTTCTTCAGCAACCGCTCTCTGCGCGTAACGTGGACATTCTCGTAAGGAGCCACTTGAGGTACGGGCTTCGTGCGGCCAATCCTGTGCTTCACCGGGCTAATTTGCTTCATGTCGATAGCCCCGCTGTCAGGTGACTGGTCGGTTGGTGGCAACTCTGCCTGTGTTAGGTATTGATGAGCCCAATATTGTTGCACGGTTGGTTCGGCCTCAGTCTCAGAAAAATCATCATCCACTGTCGCCTGGGCCGTGTCCTGGGGCATAGACATGTCAATATCTGCCAGTAACAATTGGCGGAGTTGACGGAGTTGCTCTTGAATGAGGCGACTCTTTTCCTTTGCCTCATTCACATGCATCAACGTATTCAAGTGTCCTGCTTGATCCATAATCCATGCTGGGACTCGGTTAAGCCTATCCAAGGTTCGGATTGAGTATTGGGCTTCCAAAATCAAATGAGTCAATCCCAAATGGATTCCCACCTTCTCGTCGTCTCCGGGTGCAGGTTTCTTGGCACGTGCTATATCCAGCTTATCGCATAGCTCGGTCAAATGTCGAATCGTTCCAAGCAACCGTTTCAGCAGCTGGTCACAGGCTTGCTTACCCACCGTAAGCAACGGTCTGGTCTCGGGTCCCGTCATCGTTGTAAAAAAATTAAAGGTAAACTAGGTCGCTTCTTAGTTAAATAACCTCTAAAGCGTAGTATAATAAATACAGTAGTTAGGACACTTAAAAATGTGGTCAAAAACAAGTATCACTTAATAAAGAGTGTTAAGTCTGAAATAATTGAACTCAGTCAGAAGTGCCGTTATGATCGGCCCGTCTGCTGTATTTATTATCACGTTCCTATATGGAACGAGATTTTCTCTAACAATGGGTAATTATGAAAATACCCGTATCTGTGGTTTTCGTCTCCTGGTTACTAAATTATGATGACACCGTATGAGTCATCTCTATGGTTGTCGTCTCTTAGATACTAAATTATGATGACACCTTCTGAGTCATCAATCTCTCATAATAAATTTCTCTGTCTCAATATCAGGTCTGGTCTCTCTGAGTCCGGTCCTAGAATATTCTACTCAGATCCGGTCCTCTGGTCCGGTCCTGAAATTTCACTTGTAGGTCGAGCCCTCTGGTCCGGTCCTAAATGTCCGTCCTAAGTACTTTGTCCACAACGATCATTCGAGTGCCCTGTTTCTGATTGCGCTAAATATAGAACACATCCACGTGAATTCTCTGCATGAAGTACCGGGCTTCTTCTACAGTAGCAGGCAACCCCCGAGCCATGTCGCGTCGCATAAGTGCACATGGTCAGCAAGTCCTGAATCACCCTGCGATTGGTGACCTTTCGATAAAAGTCAGTCAATCTCTTTTAACCAACGTGAGCAAGATCCTGATGTAGCTCGAGTAGTAGCTCATCTGTGATTGGTTCATCCCCGTCGCCTAGCAACGTCATCGCCACAGCAACCACCTCATCATCAACACCGGCGAGTCTAGATAACGTATCCGCGTCGCCCATGTCCTTACCCTTGACATTTGAAAGTGTAAAGTTGAAGTTCTGTAGCTGTAGGAACCAACGTCGAATTCGTCGACCTCATACAGTATCATCAACACCCAAACGCTTCCAGAGTCCCAACAACGGCAAATGGTCGGTTTCTACATAGACTTGACCAGGTAGTCTATCAAGTATAATTGACCAGCGATCAAAAGCCCAGACGACAGCTAATGCCTCCAACTCTGTGATCGAATACAATTGCTGCGCTGAGTTCCATTGTGTCGATGCAAAGGATACCGGTACTACACCTTCTTCTCTAGTAACATACAGTGCTACCCCACAGCCCATCTTACTAGCGTACGAGTGTAGTTTTAGTACGTCATCCTCTTGTGGTGAAGCTAGCGCTGGTGCCTGATCCAACACATCGAGGAACTTATCCCACGCACGCTGTTGCTCCAATCCCCACTCAAAAATTACCCCCTTCTTCAAAAGTCTAGCCAACGGCTCCAAGACTAAGGAGAAGTCCGGTACACATCTATACCACCAATTAGCTGTGGCATACAGACTACGTAGCTCTTCTTTGCTCTCGGGCATTCGCATTGCTTACAGAGCCTGTGCGGTCTCGTCCTTAATTGACGAAGACCAACTTCCAATAATTCGCCCAAGGAACTCTACCTTCAACTTCATGAATTCGCACTTCGCCAGACGAACCTTGACATTTCGTTCTTTCAGTCTGCGTAATACCGCCTTCAGTAAGTTAGTGTGTCCTTCCATGGTCATAGATCCTAGGAAGACATCATCAATGTACATGAAGACTCCTTCAAGATCTTGAAATGTAAATCCTGAATCGACCAACCCCATGGACATCTTCAAGTATCGATATCGCTTCCCTTCAAAAGTGAACGTGGTATATTTCCATGACTCACGTGCGAGTTCCACCTGCCAATAACCACATGCCATATCCAACTTAGAGAAATACATATACTTTGATGCACTTCGCACCAAGTCCTCTTCCTTCGGCACTGGGAACGACCGAAACTTCACTTGCCGATTCAATGGCACCAAATTTGCACAAAGCGCCATGTGCCAGGCTCCTTCTTAGGAACTACCAGCGGCTGCTGGTTTCAATCCGTCTTCCAAAACAACTCCTCAATGACGGGTTCCTTAAGCATACGATGAACCTCAGTCCTGTTGGCCTCTCTCTTCTGAGGATTATTTTCCTCATAGTATATGTAAACCGGGCTAGCACCATCTTGTAACACGATCTCATGCTCAGCCCCCGTGATGGTATACTCTTCGCCATCTTCCCATGAAACCTCCTGCAGCAAATCTTGAATTGCCGCAGTCATCTAAAACTCCGATGGTCCTCAAGCCAAATCTTTCTCAAACTTCAATACTTGGTCTGTTCTTGTCCTGACTGTTAGCGACGACCCAAGTACGTAATCTCGTATCCATGGCCACCCAAGTAAAGGAACGTCCAATACCTTGGCGTCGACCCTATGGAATGTCTGCTGACTCTCGTTGTCAGCAAACCCAACCATGATCTCAACCAGTCCATACAATCGGGTACACCCACCAAACCCATCAAGCCAGCTCTCTCTAGCTACCGATAGATCTTATTGCTTCGAGTTTGGACCAGCCCAGAACTTTGGTAACAAGTTTACCTCAGCCCTACTGTACAGTGTGGCCGATACTGTATGACCATAAATTAGCAACTTTTCTCGCCAGATTCTTTTGCTATCTCCTAGCCGTCGTACGATCGGCCCGTCCCGGCATACCTGCTTGCATACGGATGTCATGTGGCTTTTATTGCCACAATTTCGGCACTCTCCGTCAAACAAACAGTCTTAGCAAAAAGTACCTTGTCACGTGCACCACGTGACTTCTGAATAATCGAAGCTACAATGTCTGCAAGTCTCATTGCCTCTACTAAGCTGTCTTCATTAGCCAACTTCAAGCGTACCTCCATCTTCAACTGGTCGTCAAGTCTCTTGATGTATATAGCTACTACCTCGTTCTCTTGCATGTTCGGTACATTAAGTAATAGCTCTTGAAACTTCTCGGCGTAAGCTTGCACAGCGCCGGTCTGCCTAATCGCCATCAACGTTTCTCTACACTCAGTCTGTCAGTTCGGTGGCAAGAACATGTCTTGTATCTGCTGGCTGAGACCGGCCCACTGCGCTATGTTGCCTTGGTTTCTTCCTGAACCACGCCAGAGCACGTTCACTCAAGAACGTGCTCGTATACTGGATTATTACTTGCTCTGGCACCTTATGCCCAAGATTTATTCCTTCCGCGGTAAACAGCTCCATACGATAAACTCATTCCCGCACTGCAGATACATCTGCCTTGCCTCCATAGACATCAGGTTTATTGAGCTTCAATGTGGGCCTCCCGACTGCAGGGTTTGCTGTATCTGTTGCTGTAGCTCAGCAATCTGTTGTTGATATTGTGCCATGTTGGCACCCTCCACCCGTTGCTGTAAGTTAGCAACTTGTTGTTGATATAGAGCCAGGGCGGCCAAATTCTCCCTAATTTGTACCAACTCGGCCGATTGCCGATTGGGCCGGCTGGTTTGGCGTACTGTGTCCTTGGCCCGACATATCTTAATTTATGCTCTCTTAGTGATCCTCAGCTGTGGCAGCTTGGGCGTACCCCAACGTGTCCGAGACATTACTAACTCAGAGGCCCTAACGTTTGCAAAGGTTAGAAAGCGGAGCCGCAAGCAACCCTGGGCTTTTAAAAACATAAGGCTCTTCCTTTTCCCACAAAGTGAGTTTCTACGTAATAACCCGCCCCAAACGCCGTTCGATCCACTGGGATAAATACCACGTTAGCCTGTCCGCACGTCTTCTGAGCCCAAGTCCTTTTTAAGCCTAGTACTGTACACAAAGTCGTACTGATAACGGAGTACCTGGTCCTACCAAAGTTACAGCCTTTATCACACTTCCTTTTCGCTGAAAGAGAGCGCCGTCCCACGATCAACGTTAATACCCTGTTAGTCGAGACTATCCTTGAAGAGCCCCTTCAGCAGCTTATATTACAAGGTCCCTCGAATTTCCCTAAGTTCGGTCCTTATTCTCCAAATCCAAAAATCGGCCCAAAAAATGGTTATCACAGTTTTGGCGCCACAAATTTCAAATTCCCAAATTCGGTAGTAGTAACTTTATTCTTAGGTTTACGATATAAGCAGTCTTTAGTCCTCGTCCTTGTGTTCCTTATGTTCTTAGTGAAAGTCTGAACTCTAACGCTGGACGTGGACTGCTTTTATAGTCCGCCGGGACCTATCTCTATCTATTCCCGAACGAACTTGTACTACTAACATCCTAGGCTATTAACTATAACTGTATCATTCGTAGTGAGAGGAAAAGGCACGGGCCTAGAAAACCCTCTGCTACGATGTTCTCGAACTTTCTCAGGGCGTCATCGTCTATGTATATTCGTAGACACTTTGCTCTGTTCGTGAATATACATAGACAATTTTAAGTATGACCCATGTAGAATGACACTCAAAAATCATCAGGGCCAGGTTTATACGATTAACCCATGAATTTCCCGGAATCATGACCCATTATTCGGGACCCGCCAAAATTCAGGGTACCGAAGAGTCTCGAAAATTTATTAGGAGTCCCGAAACTCCTACAATAGTAAAGAAACAAAAATGAAATTGTTTATAATATTGAGTATTGAGTATACGTAGACGTATATTTCCTGTCAATACTTTTAAAAAATTACAAGAAAGTCTGTTTTAGTGTTTTAGGTTCTATTATTCCATTGGAATTTATCTGGAAAAGGGTTTGTTCCAATTTGAGTAATTTCAGGTTTTGTCATTTTGTCGAGTTCTAATGTACTCTGGACTCTGGACTTGGAGCTAGCATCAATACAGTGTTGGTATTTAGGAGTATACGTTAAAGTAAATAGAGTAATAGACACGTTTTGATATTTGAACGTTACATATGACGTACAAGACTGGGGGACTGTGTTATTCATACCAAAAAAAGCACTAAATCATAGCCCTTCTAAAATAGACTCTAAATAGTATAATATACTGAATGCTTTATTTTTTTGAAGAGGGTGCAAGTCGCATAAACACAATGTTGTACTACCCTTTGAAATTGTCAGTAAGGTTGAGGCCATCCTCAGGCTGAACCAAAAGGATGAGCGTTATGTACTGTGTGAGCTAAGTATTAAATAATAACTAAAGTCATCTCACATTGTTCTCAACAAGTGTGCACGCACACGTTGTTAATATTATTAATTGAGTGCACGACTGCCCACCGGCCACCGGTAAAGTCACGCGTAATAGTTCGGTATTTGGGCCCATAAATGGCGACCCTGCCTTTGCGGATGGACCGGATGCGGTTTAGACACGGGCTCAGGCGATAATAGTTTTATGTTCATTGATGCCGTATAGAGACATTCATCCTTTCCAAGGGTATTAATAAATCGTTAATAGCGTGTTCCAGATTTGTCAAATCTCGATTTCTATTTTGAAAATCCCAATATTTTTTGGCACATTTCAAGATTATTCCTAAATAATCTGCGAAGGCGCCAAGGTCGTAGTACAAGTAGAACACCTATTTTTATCTACTTAGGAGTCTAACACCAAATTTGAATCGTCCAAAACGCGATTATTGGGTCAAAATATTTTATGTTGTCAAGTAGAAATATTGTCCAAACAATATCGTATATGCATTCTGGTAACAGTAATACAAGCTTCAGCTGTTAAAATCGAGAAACAGTGCGTTTACACCATATGTAAGTATAACAAAAGTCTGAAAATCATAACGAAGCCATATAATTGGATACGCGCACCAAATTGACCTCCATTTGGTGTGCGTGTTCAAATATATAGCTTTGTTATGATTTTGAGACCAACGTTATACTTGCATAACCATAATTAAACCACAATAATCTAATTTTAATCGTTTGTGGGTGAATGTGTAGTGGATTTTGATAAAAAGTTCAGGAAATGTGATTCATCGTGCAATCGATTGAATGGCACATCAAATGACGTAAACACACTTTTCTCGATTTTAGCAGCTGTATGTTGCATTACCGTTATAATAGTGCATATACGATATTGTATATGTACGTGACAACATTGAAACTTTACTAATTATGCATAGTTAGACCCAGTAATCACGTTTTGGAGGTTTTCGATGTAGTGTCAGACTCCTAAGCATATAAAGTGTTCCACTCGTACTACGACCTTGGCGTCTACGCAGATCATTTACAAAATACTTAATCTTGAAATATGCCAAAAATAAATAAAATTTGGGAATAAATAGAAATCCGGATTTAGTTAATCAGGAACGCTTCGTTATTTTCATCCCGATTTTATCCCCTTGGTAGATGGATGGGGTGTTAAAATAAGCGCGTCTGTGAATGATGTGGGCCGAATGTCTTTATACGGCACTGGTGACAATAAAATTATTAACCACCTCAGGATACTTATACTTTTTCGAGATTAATTTGCTTAAATATAGGTGTATTAATGTAATTAGCGTGATTTAAAGCACTTATGAGATGTGTTTGTTTTCTGCCGGTTTGTTTGTTATCTGTCAGCTGAAAGCGCTCGACTTAAATGTTAGATATTGTAGGGCGGATACAACCCATTTGTTGCACTTATGTTAGGTCCTTGTCGGTCTTAAGGGCTTGACAGATACATGTATATAGGCGTCCTCTGTCTTAGCTATTGCTTCGGATTCGCCCAAGGTTTTACAGATGTCACTATTCGTGTCTAACATGGGTCGACCTCTCCTCTGAGGCCGACAAAGAACTAATACAACAAGTGCAATAAATGGGCTAAAATCACGCTAATTACATTTTTAAAAAAGCGAAGTAAACTCGAAAAAGTACGAGTATGAGACTGGTAGGAAACTGGGCTTGAGGCGGTTAAAATTTTTATTGCCACCAGTGCCGTATAAAGACATTCGGTGTCCTGTGACCTTGTTTTCACTGTTCTGTACTATCACATATCAGTAGAACACACATATGTGGCCTGTGCTCCCCATTTTATCTTTTTTTTAAATAAATAATACATATCATTTTTTTCCCTTTCTTTTCTTTTTAGAAGCGGTATATGTATTGTAATTTTTTAAAACTACCACCTCTATGGCTGAGCTTTTAAATTGCCGCCATTAGGACTACCGCCTAAGACTGTACTACTTATTACTGGCGCTTAGAATTGCCTCCACTTTTAGGACTGACTGTGTATTCTTTTTATTCATGGCCCTCTGGCGAAGTCTGGATTCACTCTGCGCAGCCGTGAGCGGCTCTCAACACCGAACAACTTTAACATGGTTTTTGATTCTTATTGGTTGGTAACATGGTTACAATTATATATAACTCAATATGCCGCAGTCTAGAACATTTTATTTTTAGTAATAGTAAAATAATCACCGGAACATTCATTTTATTGGCGAATGCTAAATATCATTTTTTTTAAATAGCGAACGCTGTGTATTATGATTTGTTTGAAACTATAGTTTGTTCAAAGGATTATTCATAGCTCATAGCCCTCATCGAACAATTTAACCTCCTGAACTTCAGGATTCCTGTTATAGGACTCTCTGAGCTTTTAAAAATGAAAATAAACGCATAAATCCCGGTCATCTAACAACAAGAGTGCACGTTTCAAAGGGTATTAAATTTGATAAAGCCAATTCTACGGAAAGGAAATATATATAAGTAGAACTATTATATACCGTCGTTAACCTGAGCATTTACAAACCTTTAACAACACCCAAATCATGCGGAGATACAAGTTCACACTATGTTCCATACTATCGGCTGTACTGATGGGTGTGACTGGGCAAACAGACAAGCCGCTGGTGACGGGTTCTGCGAGAATGGAGCGCTTGCACATTGAATCTATTGAAAATACCGACGAAGGTATGTATCCAATCGTCCTTAGAATGAAGACAGACGGAGAACATATTCATATAACATATATTTTTATTTCGTATATTGTATTCACCAAGTCTCAGTTTCATTTGTAGACGCGAGATTCAAAGAAATCATTTTCTACATAAAGCATGCATCTTATTAAGTGCCTGCTATACTACAGATAAAACGCAAATAACTTCTAAATACTGATGGCAAGTGGGGGTTGTGTATAGTAGTTCTTTTTTTGAAACGATGCATGGTCAGTTTAAAATCTTCCTACCTCAGCTTTAAATATGACAAGTGAATACAAATGAAAATTCAAACACAATCTTCAATCATGTGTATATACGAATATATATATATATATATATAAATATATATATATATATATATTTA